TTTGCCCTTAAATTTTTCGATAAAAATCAAAATGCGATTTTTGGAAAAGTGAGACGGCTAAAATACTCAGAATTTTACGCTGATTCCGAATATGTAAGTATCATTGAGTTTTATTGAGGTGCTCGACGCTAGCTTATCCTCTCCCGTCCTTTTAGCTCTAGTTAGTGGTTAAGCGAAACTGTTGTATTTGTTCGTTTAAATAATTGTATGAATGTTCTACGAAATACTTCTGAGGTTAGAGTAAACAAATAAAATGTAATTGAAAATGTTGTATATAACAAGAGGTTTGCTATTTGTTCGAAAAGCTCCTCGATTGCAATTTGTTCCTCTGATTTCGAAACGTTCAATGTAAATGCTCTGTACCACGAGCGAATAACTTCAGGCGTTATTAGCAAAGTGAAAACAACTACTTGTATTAGCAACATGCGAATTAATTGTGCATCTCTTCGTTTTGTTATTGAATTTTGTTGTTGTTCAATTGATAATATTTGTCGACGACTCCTGCGGACATTGAACAACGTCAATAAGCCAAATGTGACCATAGACACTGGTGGTATAAGTGCGTAAAATATAGAATGAAATAAAACATAGAATACTTCATAGGCACCCGGTGACGGTACACATTCGTTGTCATGTACATCATCCAAGTGAGGCATAGTATTCGTGTAGATTATCGTGTGTATTGGCAAAACAAATGCAGTGATAATGACAATCAGGATGAGACGATTGACAGCTGATTGTTTGTTCATTATCAATCTTAATCGATGAAAACGGGAACTCGATATGTAACGATCGATGCATGCCAAAATCAGAAAATAGTAGGCCGTAAACGTGAGCACATTTATGAAATAGGTTTTTAGTCCGCAATAAATCTGAGAAGTACTGGACGGCTCGATGTCGAATAAAAGGCCAAGCAACGATGAAACTATCACCAAATTGAGTAAAATAAAATTCGATACTGTTGTCATAAAAAAGTACTCAATTGACGGGCTAAATTTGAGCGTTTTCTGTCTTAATACAATACCATTTAATATATTGCTAAAATTGCCAACAAAAAATAAAATGCAATAAACATAAATACTCATCTGACTTGATATGAAATCCAAATCGTCACTTCCCGACCAGTCTGTCTCATTGTCGTTGTCATCATCGTCCCTAGAGAACAATATTGTTGCTGTTGAGTGAGTGGCTGCCAGTTTTCAATTTTGCGGTTAAAAACGCTGACGCTATTTGAATGTCAAGTTACTGTTGAAAATATAGACCGTATCAATGAATTCTTAAGAAATAAAAATAAAACAAAATTGAACAGAATTATTATATATTATAGAATTATTGTTATTTGTCAAATGTTTATGGTTTGTTAATTTTTCACCCAATAATTTTATATTCGAAAAAGATGAATGATGAACTACATTCCACACATTTATTAAAATTGTTCACGCTACCTCATAAAAAGACAAGAAGTAATTACACACAAGATAATAATTACACACAATATTCGGAAATAAATGAAGTGAAGTGAATGAATAAATGATTGAAGCGAATGAGTGAAGTAAGTGCATAAATGAGTGAAGCATTCATTAGTTTGATGTTAATTTACTATTGTTCGAATGGTAGTGTAATCATCTTATTCAGGTGTACTCATCTTAACAGAATGGTGTATCCGTCTTGAAAGGGTAGTATATTTACCTTAAACGACAGCTTTAAACAAAAGTTTATAGATGAATCTAGTCTATGTTTACAAATCAAAAAGTGAAAGAAAAACTTCTAAATTGAGTATGTTATCGGGAATAGGGATGGCAGTATTACTGTTATTCATAAAGTAAAATAATTTGTATAAGACCGCAACAAAATACATATTAAGAATTTTAACCAAATTCAATAATTTTATTTGTCAATTTCGAGCTTTCGGTACTGACTCGTACCATTGTCAAGAAATAAATG